CCTGAATACAGCGTTCGTAACTATGGTTCTTTTGTCTAGACTAAGAAATTAACATCATTACCGTACCAGTAACTAAACTTGCCACTTTATTTGGATTTCCAGTTTGTGCGCTGATGTCCCAGGATCCCTTGCTGCACTTAGTTGTCATGTCTCCTTAGCCTCCTCTGGCCTGCTTCTCCACCTCTCCCTGTTTTCAACGGCATGGACAATTTTAAGCGGGACTGGTCACGTATTTCATAGAATGTCCCCCAATGTGGCCTTGTCTGACATTTTTCTCACGACTAGACTGGGTTATGGATTCCGGGAGGAGCATGAAGAAATGATGCAGCGCCCTCAGCGCATCCCGTCGGGGGTACTTGACATCCACTTGCTTGTCACTGGTGGCACTCACCTTGACCTCTAGGGTAAGGTAGTGACTGCCAGGTTTCTCACTACAAAGTTACAGGGAAATTTTTCCTTTTCCTGACTCTTTTAACATCTTTATGATTCAGAAGTGTTCTGTGGGAAATCACTTTGATTCAATGGTAGCCACCAAGTTCATAACTGGCTAGGCTATCCCTGAGACCAGATTAAGAGGCTCCAATCACAACGTCAAGACAATTTAAAGCACTGAGAGAAAGGGTAGCCAGGATAGGTGTCACCAGTGATGGCCAATTGAAAAGCTCACTAATTTTCAGAGGCTTCTTGATCTCACGTGTTTCATGAGCTACTTGTTTCTTCACAGAGTTTCTCTGATTTTCTAAAGAATCAAATACTCTTGAAAAATCTAGTAACCACACCTTGCAAAAGCCCATACAGGGAATTCCCTGGCGGTCCAGTGGTTGGTGCTCTGGGCTGTCGCTGCCGAGGGCCTGGGTTCGATCCCTGGTCAGGGAACTAAGATCCCACAAGCCACATCATGTGGCCAAAAAAAAAAAAAAAAAACTTTTCTTTACTTATTGACATTCTTTGATGCCTTTGAGGAAATTCAATTGATAGTATATGAGTGGCTCTATTTCTGCATTCTCTATTTGGTTCACTTGATCTATATATTTATCTTTACACCATTATCACACTGTCTTGATTACTGTTACTTCAAAGTAAGTCTTTTTTAAAAAAAATCTTTTTTAGATTCTATACATTTTTTAAGTAATAGAAAGGTCTTTATTTTATTTCAAAAATTTATTTATTTTTGGCTGCATTGGGTCTTCGTTGCTGCACGCAGGCTTTCCCTAGTTAGGGTGAGCAGGGACCAGCGCGCAGCCTTCTCATTGCGGTGGCTTCTCTTGTTGCGGAGCACAGGTTCTAGCGCATGGGCTTCAGTAGTTGTGGCACATGGGCTCAGTAGTTGTGGCTCGCGGGCTTTGGAGCGCAGTCTCAGTAGTTGTGCTGCAAAGGCTTAGGTGCTCCGCAGCATGTGGGATCTTCCCTGACCAGGGCTCAAAAAAAAAAAAAAAAAAAAAAGCCCATACATATTTCTTAGTTTACTATTATTTTGGTTTGCTTAGTTTGACAGAAAAGACCAGCAGTGGACAAATTATAGCCTGAGGGCCGGCTGTCTGCTTTTGTAAATAAAGCTTTCTTGGTCCAGCGCCACACGCATCCATTTACCTTCTGCCAACCCACGGCAGGGCTGGGCAACTGCCACAGAGAGCATGCGGCTTGCAAAGGCTAAAATACTTACCATTTGGCCTCTGAAGAATAGATAGACTAAAGAGCTCTAAAGAACGATAGACTAAAGAGCTGTCATGAGTTTGAGAGACTGGGGTTATGCACACGGTTTACTCTAGGTGTCCAACTAAAGGCAACAGAGTGAGACCCAAAGACCTGGGGGGAAGAGCCATCACATTTAAACCACGGGCTCCCTCAGGGGACTGACTGACCCACACTTTCTCTGTGACTGCCTTTCAGTCCCTCCGAGATTGAGCTGTTGTTCTGCCGTGTGTATCAGACAAATGTTTCTGCTGTGTGTGTGACCAGCTGCACGTAAGGCTGCGTCATCTGCAGACACGCGGGAGTTCTCGCCACAAGCCAAGCTCTTGAGGGTTTGTGTGGATTTCCTATTGCTTCTGCTCACAGCTGCTTGAGTAGCAGTGAAGCAGTCATTTCAAAATTAGCCAAAGTCTGTGGTTAATGAGCGGATTTAGTCTTTTACTAGATACCTAAGATCTGACAGTCTCGTGTGCATCAGGGACTCCAGAGCAAATAGCCTGCCCAGAAATAATTTCATCTCATTTTACTATATTAGTATACTAATGCCACAAAAAGAAACATAAAATTTAAACGAGGTTTGAAACACGTAACACATATATGTGTGTGTCCGTCCTATTCACTGCCACCCCCCCAACTTCCTTGAAAGTGCAGTCACATTCTGATGGCATCAAATTCGGCCATCTGCGACCTGCTTCCAACTTCTCAAAAGCGGACTTCTTGTTGCTTCAAGATGGTGAGTGGAGAAAGTGCTTTCACTGGTCTGACCAGTTCGTAGACATTCACGTTGACGGGGAAATGAATCTCCAGTTCCCCTCTGGAGCTTATGGCACAATCTGCTTGGATTTGAACATCAGCTCTACCACCTCCGTGACCTCGGGTAGGTTTCCTCACCTCTTCTGGTGCTTTGTACAGAACCTAGAGATAAAAAGATGAGCCACAAGGATGGGGGTACGAGTTAAGTAAGACTTTAAGTTCTTAATGCTGCCAGCTCACGGAAGGCGGTCGGGGTAGCGATGATATTCATGTTAGTTTAGTTTCCCTTTTCCTCTCAGGACACAAATCCCACCCTCTCCTTTCCAGGGCTTGCCCGGTCTCATCTCTTCCCAGGCTGACACGGCGTGGCTGACAGATTCGTTATCTGACGGCTGCAGAGCTGAAGCCATGCGTGAGGCACTGCTTCTCAATCCATCCATTTCTGTTGTTTCTTCAGAGGAAAGGACGAGATTCCTTCGGAAGCCAAGACTCAGGTCTTGCCAGGTGAGGTCAATTGCCAACAAAGACCACAGGTCAGGAGGCTCTTTGGTTTCTAAGCCTGGGTTCAAAACCCATCCATCGTGTGGAATATTTGCAGAACTACTGAACTCCCCAGGAGGCAGAAAAGGAGTTGAATACCAAGATATAAGCCACGGCAACGCTTTTTATCCTCTTAAAGCTTTGTAGGCAACCTTGAGCAGTTTTGTCCATTCTGGAGGACACTGGGCACCTGAGTCCTCCAGAGCCTGCAGGTGTGCACGTGGGAAGCGGAGAGGTGGGGTACGTGCAGCTTGGGCTTGCAACAGGGATTGAAACACAGTGATGCTTTTGCACAGATTGGCTCCCGGAACCTTTGGCATTAGAGCAAACGAACAGACTCTCCTTTTTCATTTTTATCTTTTAAAGCACATTCCACACACAAACTTCCAGAAGCAACTTCTGCCTTCCAAGAGCTAAGGAAATAGAATATCAACTGTTCAAAACAGATCCTGAGATTTATGCTTTCGGAAGGAGCGGCAGACCAGCGTTTGGGGAGTAGTCCTACGATGTTTCCTACTGTTTTTACAAGCAAGGGTGTAATATCCAAGAG